TTAGAGGTATGAGTGAGAAGACACAGAGTGGGGAAACAAACACATAGAGGTTGTATTTTGAGGCCAGCTCTAAGGAGCAGGTGTGGAGTGGGCATCATGCTTGCTGACACGTCAGAGGGCTAAGTGTGCAGGACTCACCACATTTGCCTCCTTCTATTGAATCTAAAATGAAGACATCAACATCTGTCATGATTTATCACGAGCTATTTTGAAGCTTAAAGGGAATGAAAAAAATTGTTTCTGTGAAATACTTTCAACCCTGAAGTTTATTTTCTTGTACCTCGAAATCTCCTGTCTGCCACAGTATTATTTCAGATAAAATGAGCAGCAGATGGAAGATTTGTGTTGCAACACAAGGAGCAGAGACATGTACACATTAAAAGAAACTTGTAAATCTTGAATATTGGGAAGAGCTTTTTAGCAAACAAAACATGGAAAACCAAATGTCTCAGTAGTTGGACAAAGTCTGACCCTTACATCAGTAGTCTGAGGAAGCCTGAGGGACAAGTTAAGAACATAGGCCCCTAGAGGCATGCCTGGGTTCAAAGCCCAGTTCCCTAATTTTATTCATTGGGCCTTAGGCAGAGTACTTGATTTCCTCCCCTAGGAGGTCATTTCTTCTCCTCTATGTTAGAAATAATGCAGATGGCATTTTCTATGGGTGGAGGCAGGAACAATAGGGCAGGGCTGGCCTGCGAACAGTGCCCGGTATTGGTTAGCCATTATCACTGTGGGGGCTGCATCTCTGGCTTCACCAAGCCCAGGTCACAAGGGTGAGGTGTGTCCTTTAGCAACGCTGAGGTGAACGGGGTAGTAGAAAAACAAAACTCTCCAGCATTTCGTGTCCTGGGTCCCAAACGTAGCTTCTTCACCACAACCATCTTCACGGGTTAATTAAACTAGGGTAGATGTTGAAGGTGATGGGAGCTTAGTTTCAGATGACTCTGAAGGTCTCTTTCCAATGTGAAACAAGGACAGATCAAACGCCATTGCTTCTATTGTTTGTTTTCCTTTGGGATCGGGAGACCCACTACCACTGTTCTGAAAGACTCAGGGGTGTCCAACCTTTTGGTTTCTCTGGGCCGCCTTGAAAGAAGAATTGTCTTGGGTCACACATTAAATATGCAAACACTAACAAAAATTGATGAACAAAATAGAGGTCCATGCATAATTTCTATAATATCTACCAAAGAGGTCCATGCTTAATTTCCATAATATCCACCCCTATAGATAAGCAGAAACATCCTCACTTAATCGCCTGTGGCCTGTGGGTTGCAGATTGGACACTCTTGTTAGTATATTTGTTTGCATTTGGGAAAGCCTGAAAAACTTGTCTACTATTTCAAGGTTTGGGCTTTAAGATGAAGTGGGGCAACTAATTAAAATGAAAATAAAAGGTCAATCTAAAGTATTGAAGGTAGTCCAGATTTCTAGAGCTTGTGTACAAAGTTGACAAGTTTCTCCCCCCTGTTCTAAGGAGAATATTTATAAAATCATCTTCTGCAGTGGAGATATGTTATGATAGGAAGTAATTGATAACGTGGCTTTTACGAAGCTGGCCATAGGCCACAGACAGCCTGTGATGATTCAGAGAACAGTCACGTTTCATGTATCTTGTACTTCATTTCTCCAAAAATGAATGTTACCAACATTTAAAACTCAGGAGTTTTCACATACATAAAGATAAATATGTGTCCTTCTGTGTCTCCAGAAAAAGTCCAGAAAGACTTTCTACACTGGACCCACAGGGCCTGGAAGGGATGAACGATAGGATTCCTGCCTGTTCAACCTCCTTTAATGGAACATGTAGCCCCAGGACATCCCCATGGGGTCAAGGTCTCCTCTCTCATTTCTGTTACCTGACCGGTTGCTGGAGCCTTTGCTTTGGTTCCTCTTTGGAGACAGGGCTGTGGTTCAGGAGGACCATATCCCGGCACCCAGCATGGCCAGCACCCTCTTTGACACTCGACTGTGCTTTGAACACAGGGATGGTGTGTCTTGTTACAAGGTTACATCTTGGCACAGTTTCCTCTGTGATGGAACTCGAGAAACCCAATCTCCTTCATCTCCCATTTCACACCTGCCACTTCCTCATTTTCCCTCTTTCCTAGCCCCCAAATCTAGACACTTCATTATTATTTTTTGAGTGAAAAAGGGCTGATATTAATAAATTATAGGTGACCTTTGAACAATACAGAGGTTAGGGTCACTGACACCTGTGCAGTTGAAAATGTGTAACTTTCGACTCCCCCAGAGTTTACTGATGACATAAACAGTCAATTGACATATTTTGTACATCATATGTAGTATATACTATATTCTTAACAAGTAAGCTAGAGAAAAGAAAATGTTACTAAGAAAATAAGGAAGAGAAAACATATTTATAGTTTGTTAAGTGGAAATGGTTCATCATAAAGGTCTTTATCTCTGTCATCCTCATGCTGAGTTGGTGAGGGGGAGGAGGAAGAGGTGGCTTAGCCTAGTGACTCAGAGGTGGAAGAAAATTCACATCTAAGGCGACCCACACAGGTCAATCCCATGTTGTTCACAGATCAACTGTACTCTGGGACAATGTATAAAGTGGACTAGTTGCGGGTATAATAGTTCTCTAGGGCTGCTATAAGGAAGTCCTATAAGCTGGGAGTTTGAAACAATAGAATTTTTTTTGACAGTTCTAGAGGCCAGAGTCCAAATCTAGGTGTCAGCAGGTCAATCTAGGTGTCAGCTCCTTTGGGAGGCTCTGGAGCGGGAATGTGTTCAATGCATTTTTCTTAGCTCCTGGGGTTCTGGTAACCACTTGGCTACTGGTTGCATCCATCCAGGTTCAGCCTCCCATGTTCCATAGCGTCCTTTTGGGGTGTCAGTGTCTCTGTTTTTTCTTCTTATTAGGACACCAGTCCTGTTGGTATTAAGGACAGGCAAGATGAGCTCATCTTAACTTGATTACATTTGCAAAGACCTTATTTCCAGATAAGGTTCTATTCACAGATACACAAGATTAAGACTTCCACCTATCTTTTAGAGGACACAATTTAACCCAGATCAGACTAGGTCATTTGGTCATACCACCACAGGCCCGATGCATTCCTGCAAATGACCCTTTGTCTGTCCAAGTGAGTCTGCTCACCAACCCACCCATCAAATCTAAAAATTGCTCCTTGATCATTCCACTCTCTCTGTGAATGATCTTATTATCTTATGCCATGTCACTGTTGGTGAAAAGGCAGCTGGTTAGATGAATTCACAGTCAGAAGCCCTAAGTGACATCAATGCTCACTTACTTGCATTTTCTAATTGAAGGTGCTTTCTGGATTAGAGGAGTAATATACATTCACTGCAAAAGATGAGAACATTACAAAGAAATTATTCAAAGGTTGAAATATGCCTTTGAGAAACAACTATTAATTGGATTCATTTTCTTCCAATTTTTATTTTTTGCATTTAAAAAATAAAAAATGTGTAATTTTACATATTTTTAGAGTCAGCACTTTAAATATAGACTCTATTTTGCTACTAATAATGCTGATATTCAATATTTATTGATTTACTAACATTTCTATATGCCAAGAACTACCCTAAGCACTTAGAGTTCAGTTCCTAATCTATTTCTTATACTATTTCTAGAGGCATATCCCTATTTTATGAATGAGAAACTGATGTGGCATAAACCAAAAGGAATTTTTCCAGGGTACTCAACTAGTAATTTGTAGAATGTGTAGAATTGGGGTTTGAACCTGGCTCACTAAGCTCCAGAGCTTGCATTCCCCCTATTGGGAATAAGACCTTGTCTAAGAAATAAGCCGTAATTTATTTTTACTTATATGAAAAGAAAATAATTTCAAAAAAGAATTGGATAGGGTAATAAGATAAAGGCAAAAAAATCTTGTATCTTTTCATTCCCTTCATACTTTCGCATCCCCATCCTAAATTGTCTCTACCTCTCACACACACCCATCTGTACAATTGTACAGGCTGGAAAATTATTCTCCCCTTTTTCTGTCTGTCTCCTTCCCCCATAACTAACCCACTACCAATAGACTAAGGAGCCAGTTCTGCTCCTTAGACATCTCTTTAAACTATCTTCTCTGTGTCTCTTCCACGCCAGCATCCTCTATGTCAGGCAACCTGGCATTGAACCAGCTCTGTTCGTTACTACCCCTGATTGCCATGACTCTTTCTCCAGTTTACATTGCACTGAAAAGTTAGAAATTCAGATATGAATGGTCCAGGTTGACACAGTAGCTACTAGTTTCTCCTTGGAAGTGAATTAGGTAAAGGAACCCACCTCAGCCTCCAGATAAGAATCAAAGTGGAAGGCATGGTTTGTTTTTCCCTTCTAACAGTGCTTCAAAGGGAACATCTTGGTCAGTGAAGATTAGGCTGTGGGGTTGAGAGATAGAGATTCAAGTTCCAACTCTACTGATGAACAATTTTTTTTTTCTAATAAGGACATCAGTCAATTTAGATTAAAGCCTCCCCCTAACACAGTATCACTTTATCTTAACTTGATTACATCACATCTTCAGAAGCTCTGTTTCCAAATAAGTTCACATGCACAGGGGCTGGGGTTAGGTCTTTCACACATACTTTGGTGGTGGGGGTGGGGGGCACATGATTCAATCCATAAGCCTCAGCCAAACTTTCTGACCTATAACATACTATCTGTTAGATATAGTTCTCGTGAAGATTAAATGATAAATATATCCAGGGCCTCAAGGCTACAAATATATAGGCAGTGCCTGCAACACAGCTTGAACTCAACAAAACTCCTAGTCTTCTCCCTCCTTTTCCAGGCCTTTCCCTTCTCTTCTTTTCCCACTTACCTGCCCTGGTCCCTGTCTTCTTTGCCATTTCTGCTTGCTCAGGGTAGAAACGTGAAATCTGCAACCCCCCAATCCATATGTTACCTGATTCCATCCTTTCTGCCCATAATTTAGTAGGTGATATTAAAGTCTATTTTTTCAAACTCATGTGTTTTCCTTTTATAATATTTTCCAGACAAGAGTCAGAGTCCAATGGCATATAAGAGATTGTTTTGTACTTACAAGTACATAGTCCCAAAGTCTCCTGTAAGCCCAGAGTCTTTCGAAGAAGAAGAAGAAAGGTGTGGAGAGGTCTGTCCCTCCCCAACACCCAGTGAGACAGATGAGGCCCCGCTGATCTCTACGGCCAGAGAAGAAATTAGGAAGAGAACCAAAGGCGTGCCCAAGCAGGCGTGGAGCAGCCCATTTGTGTGCCAGCAAATGGGACAAAAATCTATTGAACGATACTTAGCAAATCCTCTTCACCTGGAGGCTGCGGGCACGCACATGAATAGACACAAGAGGGTGCAGAACCAGCCCTCCACCAGCGCCAAGGGAAATTCTGGTAGGTATCATGGGAAGTTCTGGTAGGTATCATGGGAAGTTCTGGTAGGTATCACGTCGTGGTTCCTCATGTTTCTTTTCTTTTTTCAGCTAGTCATGTTTTGCTTTTAATTTCACTATAAACAAAAATTACTGACTCAATGGCAGGTCCTATTCTAGAGGATATGATGAGAACTACTGTATTAGTCCTTAATGAACATTTCAAGCATTGTATTGAAGGAGAAAACAGGTGTGAGTTGGTGACAGGTAATTTGATGATTCGGGGATTGCACCTGATAGTGACAGCTATTCATTACTATGATGATCATCATTTTCTGCCCCATTTATTAAGCTCCTGCCAGGGTCCGGACAGTGTGCTGAGAAATTTTGTATTATTTTATGAAATCCTCATATAACTCTCATAGGAAGATAGTATTGTTCCCCTATTTTATAAATAAGGAAGCTGTGAATTTATAACAAAGCATAATGTATATAATAATGAATTGTCTTAAACTCACATGCAGGGATAGGAGGAATGATTAAATATAAGGAGATTACCCAGAATAAATAAGCTTTGGCACCAAGAAGATCAGGGCTCAAGAATCAGCTTTCTCCCATTTCAGCATGCAGCATGATCAACTCCTATCAATGATCATTGAGCTCACTTTTTTCCATCTGTGAAGTAGTGACAATTACTACTTTGAAGAGATGTTGCAATTAGAGGATTGGTAGAAGTTGTTTCCTGAATATCGTGCACTGAACCGTGCTGGGGATGATGAGGGTTGTATGGCACTGATGATCAGGATGGAGGAGAGGAAATGTACAGAAAGCCAGCTTGTCTCCAAATATTCCATGAACTGTTATGTAAAAGAAGAATTAGACTGATGCTATGTAGCCCCCTCTTTTTTTGTTAGGGATTCTTTTCTTTTTGAGTCAGAATCTTACTTACTCTGTCACCCTGGGTAGAGTGCTGTGCTGTCATAGCTCATAGCAACTTCAAACTCCTGGGCCCAAGTAATTCTCTTGCCTCAGTCTTGAGAGTACCTGGGACTATAGGCAAGCGCCACTACACTTGGCTTGCTTTTCTATTTTTGGTAAAGACAGGTCTTGCTCTTGCTCAGGCTGGTCTTGAACTCTTGTACTCAAGCAATTCACCTGCCTTGGATTTCCAAAGTACTAGAATGAACAGATGTGAGGCATCGAGCCCAGCCATTGTTAGGAAACTTTTGAAGTAGATTTTGCTCCAAATCAGTGGTTCTCAACCTTCCTAATGCCATTGCTTTAGTAATGAAAACAATTTTATGGTTGGGGGTACCACAACATGAGGAACTGTATTGAAGGATCATGTCATTAGGAAGGTTGAGAACCACGCTCCAAATGTTTGTGTAATTCATTGGAATTGGCAAAAAAGAGAAGAGGTAGATTTTTGACTCAATACAAAGAACCTTCTTTGACCTTGGGGAGTATATACTACCTGGGGTGAGATTGCTCAGGAAGGGGCTGGGGGACTTTCTTCCTGATAGGCTGTGTGAGAGACTCTTGCACATCTAGGGGGTTGGCTCTAAGGATGGGGAGCAGATGATGCTGGTTGGGTAACATTTTTGGAGTCCTACTATGTACAAGGCAATGTGCTAAAAACTGAACATGCATTTTTCAATTTTGATCCATGTGGCCCTCCTCTGAGATAGAAACTATTATTTCCCCATGGTTTAGATGTGGAATCGGAGGCCCATAGAGGTCTGTAATGTTAGGGCTAGAGCTGAGATTCAAGTTTTCCAGGCTGACTCTGGGCCACAGCGTTTTTATATTAAGGTTCAAAATCTGATAATAATAGCTGTTGGAACATTTTATAATCTTCTTTTCTCTGATACTTAGCTAGTTTCCTTTTTCAGTATAAGTCTTTACCAAAATACAAATACCCACTAGTATGAGTGTGTTTGTGTGTATTGTATAGTCTACTTAGGTCTTTTCTAACTTCCTTTATTTTTCTCCATAGGATTTATTACCAGCTAAAATTTAAAATTTTTTCATTGGCTTACTAAAAGTTTTTCATTTGCTTACAAAGTAGGATGTAAGCTCTGTAAGTATCTAAGTTGCCTGCCTTATATGCCCTTCTGTATCCCAATGTCTAAAATACTGCCAGGCACATAATAGACACTAAAATGTTAATGAATGAATAAATGAATGAACAAACTTGACCTCACTAGCAGCTCTCCAAAGTAGGTAGTACAATCCCCATGCTTCAGATAAGGACAGAGACATAAGCCAGGTGATGGCCAGGATCGGAATCTATGAGGGCCTGACCTCAAGCTTTTCTTCCTTACACCTCACACTAAAACAGTACCTCCCTAAAACAGTACGTTGTAAAATGCACCACTACCAAACTGCTTTCAAGGGAGGAATTGCTATTCTTTGACTCAAGACAGAGGACAACATACTGTCAAGGTCATGTCCTGTTCCTTTAAATTCCAGAGCCACATCCATGTTCTCTGGTAGATTCTTCTTGTCCTGAATATGGATGCAGTGACTGGTTCTTCTGCCAAGACTAGAAATCAAACTGAACAGTGATTTAGCATTTAGTTTTCACGAAGCAATGGGTCTGAAGCTTGCGTTAACCTAGAGATACTAGAATGCCGTCCCCTTTTACTACCAGGAAACCATTCTCATATTGGAAAAGTCAGATTCACTGAACATTTTTTTTCTGTGACTTGGGTATATTGAGTGTGCAGTGGGAGGTGACCAGACTCTACCAGGCATAGAACAGTGTGTGATGAACTCAGTGAAGCAGTTAGATATAGACCTGCTGTTTGACAGCCAGCGTTAGGAATGTACTGTGACTTTTAATACTTATTTTTTTAAATTTGCAAGTGATCCTATGGGTTGTTCCAAATAGTCTACACACCCACATGTGAGTCAAAACCCTTTAAAAACTTGTAGAAAATGACTTAAACCACATAAATTATCTTAATTCACTACTTAATTCACTTAATTCACTCAAGCTATCACCCTGGGTAGAGTGCTGTGGCATCACAGCTCACAGCAACCTCCAACTCCTGGGCTCAAGTGAGTCCCCTGCCTCAGCCTCCCACGTAGCTGGGACCACAGGCACCGCCACAGTGCCTGGCTATTTTTTGGTTGCAGCCATCATTGTTGTTTTGATGGGCCCGGGCTGGATTCGAACCCGCCACCTTAGGTGTATGTGGCTGGTGCCTTAGCCACTTGAGCCACAGGCGCTGAGAAGAATTAGACTTTAATTTAAGTCAATGGGAAGAATGGCTAAGAGAAAAGTTTGAGATTTTATACGTATTTATTATACGTTATAACTTACGTTAAATATAAAATATTGAAATATATCTATATTGTTTTGCAGTCTTGGCTGTACTGTTGTAAAAAGTTATCACATCTTTCATATGAAAAAAAAATGATTTGGTTGGGCAAAGAAAGAAAAAAGAAAAAGAAATCAAACCCGTTAGTATTTGTGTATTGTATAGCCCTGGCCCCAGGGTAATTCACCGTTTGTGTTAATCTTCAGCTGGTTGCAATTTCTAATAAAACCCGGGAAGTAAGTGCCTCCTGGATTTTGAAAACTCATCACTTGTCAGCCTAAACGAGCTGTGGATCCCTTTTGTTTCTATATATCCAACTTCATTTAACGATTTTTCAGTCACAAACTTACCCCAAATTTAGGAATTGGGGCTCTATGTTAGTCACTCATTTTTCGGTTTCCCTCTCCTTAAAAGTTTTGAACTGTTTTCCTTGAAGTAAAAAGTTTTATAAGGATTCTGCAAAAAAACATTTTGGAGGGAGGGAGGGAAGTATCTTCAAAGAACAGGTAAGGCATAGTGTTTTTCTTTGATTTTCCTAACCCATTTTTTAAAGTCTGAAAGCAATACCACTGTGTTTCTTCCTTAGCCCCTCGGATTTTTTTTTTATTTTTAATTTCAAGTTCATGTGAGAGTACAAACTAGGATCTGGTGTTTGCATTTGTTAGGTGGAGTCCCTCCTGTAGCTGTGCTCCCCCGGAGACATGTGCCATATACCCTTACGTTGTGCCCATTAAGTCGGAGCACCCCAATCCCTACTCTGTCCCCCAGATGGAATTGAACTGGGTTTTTCTCTTATGTGGGCGTGTGTTAAATCGTCTACTGGCGTTTTTATTTTCTTAAATGGGAGGAAGCAGGAGAGGATAACGTCAGGGCGTCTCCTTCCTCTCTTCCGCACCTTACAAATGTCGATTTCTCAGACATCCAGGGGTTCACGTGGAAAGTGCGGGGCGGGCGCCGCGTGGTCCCCCACCCCCACCCCCATAGCGCACTTGAGCGCCACCCCGGCCCTGCTTTGCCTTGCAGGTTCCGGCGCGAGACCGTCCACTGCCATCGGCGTCTGCAGGAGGAGCCAGACCCCCCAGGCCCGGCGGAGCGTCTGGCGGAGCTCCTCGGAACCCGAGCTGGAGGAGCCGACAGCAGAGACCCCAGCCGGCTTTCCCGCACCCCGAGATGTGCCCTGCGGGCTCCGGTGCGCGTCCGGAAATCCAGCGGGACAGAGCCCGGTTGCCATGGCACCGGAGACGCTCCCCAAGCATCCCCAGGCCCCGGGAGAAAGGAGGCCCGGGGGAGACACCTCCCTGCAGGGCGAGCTGACAGTATCGCCCCTTCCTCTGCTGGCCGGGGCTTCCACCCTTTTCCCCTCCAAGAGGTTACTAAAGGTTTGCTCGGCGGCACCCCCGCGGCCGCCCCGGCGCTACCATACGGCGTGTTCACAGGCCCTGCCGAGGCCGGTGGTGAATGCTCACTTGCGCTGACCGCTGCGAGGGGATTGTTCCCGTCAATGGCTGCCCGGAACAACAGAAAGGGCCTCAGATGGACTGGTTTCCACAGGACTATTGTGAGGCTTTTGTAAAGCATTTTTGAACCTAATAAATAATGTCAAAAGTCTCTAGCGCGGCCAGAAATGTTCCTTTTGAAGCATTTCTAATAGTATTTTTGTTCTGCGGTGTCTCCCAGTGTTACAAAGAATTTGCGCCTCACAATAGGGACGGGGTGCATCGCGTGCCCTGCGCGCTGCGCCTCCCGGGCTGGCCGCGACCCCGCTCGGTTGGGCTTTCGCAGGTAACCGGTCTCGCCTGCCAACCTCCCCTTTGGTTTAAGGATGTTTGCTAAAGGGCTTGAGAATTTCTAAACCGACCTTTGGAAAACTTAATCGAAGGTCTGTAATTTAATAGTTAACATGAAATTTGATTACATGCCCAGAGGAATTCTTCAAGCTACATTGAAGGTTTTCTTTCTTTCTTTCTTTCTTTCTTTCTTTCTTTCTTTCTTTCTTTCTTTTTTTTTTTTTTGGTCAGAAACCTGAAGCTGGATCCTTGTTTGAGGCTCTGAAACACTCAGAACTAGGGTTTATGTACAAGCAATGCTAAATTTGCTAATTGGTAATAGAAAATATGGAGCGCCTTGGCGAACGTTGGTTTATTTCACTTTTTTTGAGACAGAGTCTTACTCTGTCACCCTAGGTAGAGTGCCCTGGTGTCATAGCTCACAGCAACCTCAAACTTTTGGACTCAAGAGATCCTTTTGCCTCCGCTGCCCCCCCCCGCCCCCCCCCAATAGCTGGGATTACAGTTGCCCACCACAATACTGGGCTATTTTTAGAGATGGGGTCTTCCTCTTGCTCAGGCTGGTCTCAAACTTCTGAGCTCAAGCAATCCACCCTCCCTAACCTCCCAGAGTGCTGGGATCACAGGCGTCAGCCACCCTGCCTGACCCAGGCAACATTTTTGATTTTGGTTAATTTAACAGCTTAACCTAGCAGCTTTGGTCCTGATGTAATGCGGAGACCAATTCTATTCAATGATTTTCTGAGTTTAGATTTTCTCTTTTTAATGTATGGTTTTTAATATTCAGAGAGAAACAAATACATATGCGTGTGTATGTTATATATAGTTATATATATATATGTTATATATAATCTATCTATCTATCTATCTATCTATCTATCTATCTATCTATCCACACACAGTTTTTCATTCGAGTATGTTACAATTTTTCCACAGGCAAGGAGTCATAGAGTTTGATACAGGGAGGCTGTAAAATCTTACTGCATTTAAATATTTTTGGCTTCACTTCAAACTTTTGAAGAAAATGGCTACATTTAGGCCATCCTCATGTCTCAAGTTCAAATTTAAGTCTCAAAGTTTAAATAGGAATGAAATGTTATAAGCAGTAAGTGCCTAACATTTAGGAGTCTGTTTGGTACTTTGAAGACTTTCTTGTAATTTCTTTAAACAGCATCATTCCCTATGAGGAATGCACTTTAAAGAAAAATCCCCAAACTCGAGAGCTATCTTGGTTCCAGATTAATCTGAGCTTCATAATAAATACACTTTCATTTTTATTGATTAAAATGGTTTTGTTATAAGACAATGTGCAGGTTATCGGTCGTGATTGCTATTGGTTTCCTGATGCTGTAATGACATTTGCTCACCAGAGTCATGTGACAACCGTAAGTTCAACTTCATGCCATTTGGTTGGGGAAGAATGTGTGGGAAAATTCATGGGTTTCATGTAGAATTTTGATTCTGGGATGTTTTAATTCGGAATTTAATTATGAGCTACCACAACTGATTTTTTTTCAGGTTGAGAAACCATTGCTTTAAGTCATTCTAGACCAACCAAGAGTTTGTAATTGTCAATTTCAAGAAGAGAAAATGAATTTGATAGAATAGATGACTTCCCTCAGCAACGGAACCGCAAATTATTGACTTCACTGAAAACACAATGCCAACAGAGAAATTTGGTTCAGAATCAAAAAAAAAGGGACGCATAAAGGCCAAACATTAAAAATATGCTGGACCTTGGCCTCCCAGAGTGTGGTGCACCATATTATAGAGCAGTTTCCCAAAATACGTTCTATGGAACACTAGTACTAGAAAGATGCTTTGTGAAATGGAAAGTTCATAGATAAATATGTCTGAGAGATATACCCTCTTAGAGAATCCCAGTAACATATGAGGTCTCTGAGAAATCCCTTAATAAAAAAGATCTGATAAATTTTGTTTAACCCAGTATTTCCCAACTTTATTTAATCAGGGAAACTGGATAGGTGTGTTTCTGTATACACAGACATGTATTTTTTTAAACTAATGTATCAGTATCTTAGAGGTCTGTGGAACATGTTTTAGAAAACATGGCTTACAACTCTGTCTTAAATATCCTAGTATCTGTGTAGAGTGATAGGGCTCGAGGTAAGTATTTCCTTTTAAAGAAATGAGATAACAATCATGTTAAAGAAGCCTTTCATAATCCTTGGAGGATTGTGATAACCTGGTTCTGGGTTTTTGCCCTCATTTGGGGTGCACATGTTTGGGAGAAAGTTAGTTGGTTTAGCCATGGCCATGCTTAGATAGTGATGGATGAGAAGCATTTTCAACTTTGACTGTTATAGTCATGATCTAAAGTGTTCAAGTTCTTCAGAAGGACGGCTCCTTTTGTACTAGGATTGAGACACAGATATGCCCAGGTAAACACAGTGAAATCTTTCCCAGTGCCATTAGTTCTGGGGTGAAATGTACTGATTTAAACTATTATAATTGAGGGTGAATCAATTTTAGAAAAAGAATAATATGTGTTCATGTATAGCACAGGCAGTGAGGACTAAAATGAGATCCAATAGAATAATTAATTGTTGCATAGATTCTGAATTACAGCTTGCCTTTATTTCTTCAGGACTATTTGATTTGATTTGTGGTACATGTATTACTACATGCTATGAGTACCTTTTAAAGGACATCAAATATCACTTCATGGAAAAATCTTCCTATGAAAGTTGCATTGAAAAATAGATATTGGTAAATTTTAAAACTCGGGTGAATTGAGAAATGAAATATTTAAGAGTCTTCAGTGAATACTGTTAACAAGTGAAGACTACTTTTATATAAAACAAACAATAATTATAATGAGAATAATAGTATTGTGTATTATGCACTAGGGATTGTTCTAGTGTATTAATTCATTTAGTTCTTACAGTGGCTTCATGAAGGAGCTATTATAATCTCTTTTTTATAGATGATGAAGTTTCATTTTTAATGATAATAATATACAGACATATGTATATACAACGAAGCTCTAAAAGCTACATTATATATTATAAAATGTTATTTTATATAGAAAGCTGTATTATATGATTAAATCTAGCATATATGCACATGTGAATATGTGTATGTGTTTCACTAATGTCTGTAAGTGAATTTCTATGCCACATTGTTGGTATACACACATGAGGTGAGTAGAGAACAATATGTAATACATTTGAACTCTTTGAAGAGTAAATCAGCATAAGGATTTTTATTGTATAATTCTTTTTGTTCGAAACAACATCATTCCTATGAATGAAGGCTCAGGCAATAAGAAAAGGTGATTTTGAGGTCGCTGAAAGATGGCAGTGCTTCTCAAGATTACTGGACTTGGACCAACATCTGACTTGAGAAAGGGATGGGTTGTTGTAGCAGGAGCATTAAGCAGGGGGCTGAGGTGCTGGGGCTGCCTTGGATCTGAAAAGAAGACGAATAAGGCAATGTTTTTGGAACTACTAAGAATGTTCCTGTCAATGTGACCTGAACTTAGTGTCACCCCCACCCCCCACCATGTGGCTGGAGTTTCTTTGCTGTTACAATGGAATGACATGTTTTGTTTACTGAAAAGGGTAAGTTGGAGATCAAGTTTGCTATAAGAGCAAAGCATTTTGAAAAGAAAGAGTAGTACATAAATGCAAGCCTTAATTTTATGGCTAATGTCAACAATAATTAGTATGTTAGTATGTTAGTATGTTAACTATTATCATTAGTTATGCAGGGCTAGTTCAAGGTGTTATACATCCAAGTGCCTTCCTCTGATGTCGAGCACTATTTCTGGTAACCAATATCATCATACTCCTCCCTGAGAAGTTTTTATATATTATATTCTTTACATTCAGCACATACTATGAGATCAGAGTATTATTAATCCTGCTTACCAATGTGGAAAGTGAAACACCGATAGACAAAGCAATTTGGCCAAAGGATTGCCGCCATCAGCCCTGTTCACAAACATTATACTACAATATCGTCTACAAAGCAAATTCTATGTTAAAAAAATAATGCATGAAGTTGATAAATTAGCAAACCATTCCGTTTATAACCTCTAATATAGAACGTTCACTTAAGGGTACCAAATGCCAATCGGCAAATGTGATCTTTTAATCCAACTCTCTTTGTAAAGACTCTGAAACTACTCAGACAAGAAGAGGAGTAAGGCGATGTTTTGGAACCACTAGTGAAATGTGCCCATGAGGATTTGAAATCACCAAGGGAACCCAGAAGAGGCTATTGTCAGGGTAAGTCTTGACATTAGGAAAAAATACTCCAGAATTCGTAAGGTCCCTCTGGCATAGTTCAGGCTTACTGTGAAATACAATCTCCTGTGGTTCTTTTTATTTTTCTTTCTTTTTTTTTTTTTATTGAATGGTAACTATGTACATTAATGCACTTCTGGGGTACAGTATGGGGTTTTCACACACAATCCGAAACACTTCCATCAAACTGGTTAACATAGCCTTTGTGTCATTTTCTTAGTTATTATTTTAAAACGTTCACATTCTACTCTTAGAAAGATTCACTTGTACCCTTGTAAGATAAACCTCAGAAGTGATCCCTCTAATCCCCTTCCCTCCACCCATCCCCCCTCCTCTCTCCCTCCCCCCTCCCCGTATTCTTAGGCTGTTATTAGGTTATAGCTTTCATATAAAAGGTATAAATTAGTTTCATAATAGGGGTGTGTACACTGGATACTTTTTCTTTC